TTCCTTTTTCACACATACAAGCACACATTAGCACACTAATGTACTTATCAAAGGCATTATCTGTTTTCTTTTGTGATTATGTTATACTAGTCAGATTTTTCTGATGCACTATTGATTGCACACATTTTGGCAGCCCGGTGTGGAAGATTTTGGACCCAAGGTAGATGGACCTGAACTAATTATTGTTGGTGCTGGTATTTTAGGTTCGTCACTAGCCGCTGCGGCCGCCCGTGACGGTCGAAAGGTGAGTTTATGTAAAGGATATATATTGAGTAATGTTTTAATTGCGTAGTGTTTTCCAGATTATAATATTCTGAGATGCCAAATATTCGACCATTGTTTCTTTTTAGATCACTGACAGCCGGATCTCTAACGCACATAAACAGGTGGTCCTCATAGAACGAAGCTTAGCAGAGCCGGACCGTATTGTTGGAGAACTATTACAGCCCGGGGGCATACAGAGTCTCACAGAACTGGGATTACGATCCTGTGTTGATGATATCGATGCAATCACAGAGTATGGATATATGATATACTACAAAGGCGAGACTATCACATTAGAGTATCCCCAGGACGACTCGGGAGACAAGGTAAGGCAGACACAGGCCCACAAGCACATACTTGCAATACTGAGTGTGCAGGCAATTTAATGTGAACGACTTCAATAGTTTGTAGTGCACATGAAGGATTCCTTGTGATCGATCACAAAATGAGGCTTATCTGGCCATGATTCATACTAAATTACGTGGGAATCGGTTTCTTTAACAAATTCACGTATCCATTCAAACTCTAAAACCTGATTCTTCGCTTGGTTACGTAGCTCTACGGAAAATCCTTCCATCATGGGCGATTTATCATGAAACTGCGAGAAGCAGCGATGAAGGAGAAGAATGTGTCTGTAATTGAGGGCACAGTCACCTCTTTAAACGAAGACGAGAATGGCTGTGTAACCGGCGTCACATATAAAACAAAAACGGAGGAAGGTGAAGTTGAAAAGAAGACAATTTCCGCGCCTTTAACAGTGGTAGCAGATGGGTGTTTCTCGAAATTCAGGAAGCAGCTGTCAAAGACAACGCCTTCGGTACCATCACGATTTTACTCTTTAGGTATGTGCTGAGATGCGCTCTCGATTTGCAACCGATTAGATTGGATTACTTGGTGATCCCCCTTTGTTTCAAAGTAATCAGACTTACAATCGTATTTTTCGGTTGAGACACAGATATCCCTCTTAAAGTTCCTCCAAATTTCGTAGATTTCTGCTCTAAGAGCCAATTTCCATTCATTATTTTTTTTTAAACGTCTTAGAAGTTGTATTGGGCAAATGCTTTAGCCTAATTGTATTGCTTGAAGCGAGTATGCCAGATTTTTTCATGACCTGATTGGCTGCATCTTTCTCTAACTCGATTTTTCTATTTCATTATTATGGAAAACTAGAACTCCAAGACGTGGTGATGGAACCAATGAACTACGCTATCGTTGCTCTCATCAATCCCTGCCCCGTTCTGGTGTATCAAATCGGTACACGAGAGACACGAGTGCTGGTAGATGTCCCCGAGAATAGCGGAATTGATGATGTGCCTGAGTTTATGAGGAATACTGGTATGTAATTGTCACGCGCAAACATTTCAGTATATCATTTCGAGCACAATGTACACCGCGGTATTACCAGAAAAGTAAAGCAAAGACAGTACTTCAAATGTATATTAAACTTCGGTCACCTAATCGTATTCTGATACCACAGTTGTGCCTCAGCTGCCTGAACACATCCAAGGACCATTCAACGCTGCCCTGGAGTCACAACAATTACGGTGGATGCCTAACTCATATCTACCTGCTGCCCCGCTACTCAAGCACGGCGTGTTGTGTATGGGAGATGCTATGAACATGCGACACCCCTTAACTGGTATGTTTTACTCTTCTTCATATCTGGCTTGAACGAAACCGCCAGTATGCTTGGGACTACGGTAGAATTTAGCTGAAATTACTCTCGGTATTTCTTCCGTTGAATTTACCCCACATATTAACATACAAATTCTATTCATTTTATTTTTCTGAAAGGCGGAGGTATGAGTGTCGCCTTCAAAGATGTTCTGCTTTGGACGGAGTTTATGCGCACAATTCCCGATCTTCGAGACCACACAACTGTACGAAGTGCCGTCAGGAAATTTACCTTCCAAAGAAAACAGGGACACTCCTTCGTCGTCAACGTGCTGGCAAACGCACTTTACGAATTGTTTGCTGCCTCAGATGGTATGTTTATGTGATTTGTATCCAATGATCGCTCACTTACTACTGCAGTTGAATACCAGTGTTGTACTGCACAAACCCGCTTTAGGGTACTCCACACTATCAGCAGTCTGGTTATACAGCTGAAAATAGTCACTGTTGAAAGTAATTTGAAATGCAATATATTGTATTGTAACACTCACACCAATATTTTGATTCTTTTCTGTATATTTCCGAAAACAAATGACATAATGTTTTTCTTCTTCTTCAATTATCTACAGGAAACCTGGCTGTCTTACGACAGGGGTGTTTCGCCTATTTCCAATTGGGTGGCGAGTGCGTGAATGGGCCTGTGAGATTACTATCGATCCTGAAGCCACAGGTAGGTAAAATAATATGAAACTCTGCCTGGCTAACGTAATGGCAAATCGTCCATTGAGATAAATTCAAGTTTATCAACCTGTTAATTTGGGGTCATTGTAGTTTTTTTTTTGTATCTCTTCTAATGCGATGTTAAGGTGTACCGAGGACCTGTTGCTCGGCACTAAGAGATTTCCCTTGTATGCAGCCTGCGCATCGAGTGTTTTGGAAAATGTTCTCCACCGAATAGAAGACGGAAAGTCTTAATTGACATCACTCCTAACATCACTTTATTTTGTTTTATCTGGAACAGCCATTGGTGCTGGTGGGTCATTTCTTTGCCGTTGCCGTCTATGGGATCACGGGTATGCTGCGAGAATGTAAATCTTTGTTGCAGCTCCCCGCGACACTGGTGAGCTCCGTGAAGGTCATGGCATCCGCTGTGCGAGTTATTGTACCACTGACATGGCAGGAGATGCGACTCAGATAATGCTATGTGGGAATATTGCAAGCCGGGAGGTCGAGTTTGCAAGTATGTCTACATGCCGCATTAATGTCTCAAGGCGACCTAATGCATGGGTACCAAAGTAGGATACTACACCATCATCCGATGAGTGGATCATCAGACGTAAAGGAGAAATATTAGAATTAGAAATTTTGTCGTTTGTAGGCCAAGGACGACATGGAATAATGATCGTTGGCAACCCCTAACGACTTCTACATGAAAATAATCAATTACTTTGAAAAATAAAAATAGAATTGTAATTCCTGAAATTAACAACAAAATAAAAATAAAAATACAGAACTCTTTAATATGCATGCCTCAAATAGGGCTGAATTTATTTTTGGATCCATTGTTTACAATCGAAATCTCTACATGGACCACTTATAATAAAAAAGTCCAAATCCATGCGTGCACGACTTTCGATCGCGGCAGTACCCACGTAAAATTTTCATCCGAAAGACACTCTTGAATGACTTAGCACGATTCTTTTTTTTCTGGTTGCAGCTATAGTGCTTCTGGGAATGAGACACCGCGCACTTTGCGCAGGTCGACGATAGTCTCGTCGATCAAGGCTAGTTTCAAACCAACACCACCCCATTATCATCTATGTTCATTTAGAGGATTACTAGTTGCTGCACGCGATGCACGCTGACTTTCGTAGCAGGCCTTAATTATTTGTAGCACCTGTCTGAGCCACATCAGCGGCTCATAACACCTTATAACACACGCCAAATTCCTACATAGGCGAAACCACAAACGTGGACACGGCGAGAGACCGGCTGTGAACACACGAGGGGAAACCAACCCAGACTTGCAAGCAGAACACTTCTATATAGTTCAGGTATAGCTTCGGTTCAATCTGAGAACGAATCCTTACTGTCATAAAGTTTGGGTGTGATCGGTGGTTTTCGATAGTATCCATTCCAAGACACGGTAAGTGCACGATAGTCGCGGGCTGCACCTATGTGTGTAAATTATGCGACGTGGCGACTTCCATCTCAAACCTACATCACATTCAGTCCGAAGCGGATGTGATCGGAAGATAGTATCGTGTAGCGTCGATCGCAGTGAAAATCGCAAATACCAAACGGTATCAAAGCGCACGGCAGATCTGGAGAAGTTAATCTGCTTCGATCAGGAAGATACTTCAGAGAGTTTCAGGTGCTTCATGACGTTCTCAGCCAAAGTCATGTAAGCCTTAGTCTGAGGGCTGTCCGGATACCCAATCACAAGAGGCGTACCGTTGTCAGCACACTCCCTGATTTGAATGTCCAGAGGAATCTCACCAATGATTCCAGTCCCCATCTCTTTCGCTGCCACCACTGCGCCGTCTCTGTGGCCACCGCGATACATGCATAGTGTGTGAAGAGGATTACAGATAAGCGAATAGGGACAAAAAAATGCGTGAAAAGGTTTGCAGGGAATATTAGAATTGATCGTATGCGAACAAGTGCACAGAGATTAAGCTTCATAGCAGGTAAAATATACCTCATGTGTATTCAGTAAAAAAAAACAGGAGAGTCTAAATAATGGCACATGTGTTTCTTCGAAGAACATTTGTATACTATGTTGCATCCGAGTCACACAGCAAACGAAAGACAGGCAGTCGAGGATACAGTGCACACCAAATGCCCAAAGCATACAATGAAAAATCCTAAACGAGTTCTATGTCGATTAAACTAAATGAGAGTGAATAGGTGCTGCTACATCATAATACACTCATTGTACCTTCCAAATATGTGTGTCGTGTGCGAGCACTTAGGACACTCAAAGTGGCTCATGTTCTGCACCACGCCGAAGATGGGCACATCGACTTTGTGGAACATTGTCACTCCCCTACGGGCATCTGCAAGCGCTAAATCCTGCGGCGTCGATACAATTACTGCACCTGTGGCCGCCAAAGGAAAAAATCCGAGATCAGGGTTGTACACAGTGAATGTCAAGAATCAATTTCACCAAGCGAAACAGTAGGGTCGATCATGACACAACTTGATTGATAACAGCAGTATCGCGCGCTCGTCGAAGTATCGAATATACACATAACAATGACCTGCACTCATGAATCAACATAATTCACAAACTGTGACGTATACGCAAAATTTACAATTACTGAGAGCGATACTCACTAAAGATGATTTGCCAACCGATCAGTTTCGAATCTTGATATACCATCGATGGTAATCTCTTGGCTGATAGACAATTGCGTGTCCCCGGTGCCCGGCGGCATGTCTATTACCAGCACATCGAGCTCTGGCCATTGCACACGCCTTAACAACTGCTTGAGCGCTGACATAACCTAATATGCGCGTATGCCAAGTAGTGAGGGATGGAAGTGAAGCTACCTATTGTACGAAACGCACTAGCAGTATGGGGGGCTGTCACACACACCTGAGAAACAAGCGGCTTGGGGTAGAAGGAAGGAAGAAATGGCATCCAGTATCATACTACTAAAGCCAACCCCCCCCCCCCCCCCTTACCCAAATTGTTCCCGTGACACGCAGCTTGCACTTCCCAATCGCCGAAGAGCTAGAATGAGCAATGTCACTACACTACATACCATTAGACCACGCCACACCACAGCGTCATTCTTGTTCACCAGAAACCCCATGGACATACAGTGAACACCATAGTTTAGCAGGGGCATCATCATATTACCAGCTGTATAAAGAGGGTAAATCAGATTAGAAACGATGGTAACATTCTGCCCTGAGCAGGTAGGTCAAATCTAGTATTGCATATGGTATTGGAAATGACTTACGAGCGCCCGCGAATGGCGTTGACAAGTTTGCGCACAACATAAGCGAACATTACATATAAAGTTCATTGAAATTGCGTAATCTACATGGTGATCTAAATTGCTAAAAGTGTCCATGTTGGGATTGCACCGATATGATGAAACAGAAGCATTAACTTGGTGTCAATTGGAATAGAAAATGCAGAGCCAGTTGTATATTTGTCTTTCGGCACGAACTGTACTACATTGGAGATATCGACAGTTAGGCTTACATTTCGAGACTGGTGGCTGGTCTTTCAGATTCATCATTATAGGAATTGATGGTCCAAACACATCCGCATCCAGTATACCAACTGATAGACCCTTTCGTTTCAATGCCAAGGCCTATCAAAGAAGAAATCGAATTGAGGACATCCACCGATAGAGATTGATTAACGTACAAAAAGTGTGCTCACAATCTTGAAGACCAGTACGAGACACACTGGTGAAATACTACAAAGCCATCTCAAAACTAAATAGTGCGAGCCACTAGAGTGTTCGTATAGCATAGACATACTCATTCAGCAAGTTATACAACCCATGTCGCTCTCCAGTATAAATATTTTTAAAGGACACTATCAGAGCTCTCATAATCTTGCTATCAATATCGAATGTGATTTAACGGATACCTTGATCTCTGCCATGTATCACTTGCATGGTTTTCAGCCTTGTGAAAGAACGAACATACCAAATTGACAGATGTTGTCGATTTGCCTACGCCCCCCTTTCCCGACGCGACAACGACAGTATGCTTTACATTGCGGATGGGGAACTTATCTGGGATTCCTTTTGACATGTCTATTGGCCCCGAACGGGATTCTCCCGGCAAGCCCTGATGGTACAATCGATGATTGAGGGGAAATGATACAAAATGCGGCAATATGCACTAAATTAGCTGCCCATTAAGCCAGCACTAGACAACCATAGCCATGGCCTATACTAGGAAGACTTTCTGTGCTTGAAAGATAAGAGAAATATTAACACCGTAGCTTTATAAAAGCATTCATACGTTGGAATACGAAATATATATACAGATGTGATGTTTGAATTCACAAATACATACATATATATAGACGCACATGTACACACACACACACACAAACATATACACGCACACGCACACAGAAACACACACACACACACACATATA